GTCGGATAGAATCGAATAACATGCTTAGAAATTTTGTCAAAAGTTCCTAAACTTCACCGGACATAAGAAAACTCGATTTAGTTTAAAAATGAAAAAGAAGAAAACATTTTAACTTTATTAATTAAAAACGTTACAAAACAAAATTAATTAATTAATTAAAACATCATAATTAATTTAATAATGTTCAAATAATTATAAATAAATAAAACATTTTTTTCAAAAGCATAAAAAATATATTTATTTTACTTTTTGTCAATACACTTTGTCATTCCTAATCGTTTATACACAAAGGTAATGGATGAATGTAGTTTAACACGGTAAAATTATAACGTTAATCTGAGTTTGAAATTCAATTCGATAAAATTTAGATAAAAATGGATTTTGTATTTTTGTATTTTTTTTTATTTTGAGAAAGAAGTAAATAAAATAGAACTAAACAACAGAAGCATTAACGGCAGTAATGTCATAGGCAGATACAGCAGTTAACCATGGCTGAGACACCCTCTTCACAAGTTTTCCTTACAATTTCATGTGCAACGGAGTTGATTTTTTTCTTTTTTCTTTCTTTAATAAAAAAATGGACTCTCATTCTTTATTTGGTGAACTCCGCACTTTGTAATAATTAATTTTCTATTTTTATCATTTATTTTGATGAACTCATAATTTTTTAATTAATTGTTTTATATTTTTATCATTTTCTTTTTATTTATACTATTAATATATTTGATTATAACACAAATTTGTACAACTTTTATTATTATTTATACTATTAATATATTTGATTATAATATAAATTTATACAACTTTTATTAGTTTATGTGATTTTATTATAAAATGTTGCAAATTTCTTTTTACTTTTTTTTTACTTTTTTTAGCTTTAATTTGTTATTATTAATAATATCGGTAAGTTTTTTTAAAATTTAATTCGTTTTTATTAACTATTGCAATAGTAAATTTTAAAAATATGTAATATTAAATGATGGTTGTTTTAATAAAAAATTATTTCAATTGATGTAATTTATTTTAATTATTAATTATTTATTAATATTAAATAAATTGTTATCATAGAAATATATATATATATATATATATATGTATATTTTTTAACCTTTTTTTCACTTTTTATACTCATGTAAAAACACCCTCACATCATCCTTTTTCTATCTTCTTACTTCTCCAAACTTTCTTTTCTTTCATTTTTCTTCTCTTTTTGTTTTTAAATTTCTTTCCATTTTTATAAAAATCACTCAAAATTTTGGAAATGAAAAGAAAATTATAAATAAATTATGTCAATCTTCTTGAATTTTTTTTTTCAATCACGAACCTATCGTATAAAAAATCTAAATTTTTAATTTTATTATTATTATTATTATTTTGTTTTCAATTATGAACTTAACAGGGAAAAAATCTAACCTTTTAATTTGAATAATCAATTATGAATTGGAAAAAATGTGGAAAATTTAATTAACAAAAAGGGCCAAGAATAAATGCTATAGTATGTATGTGTGTGTATATATCTATCTATCTTGGGTCAGGGTTGCATAATTCAGATCGGGATTGAATTTTATACTATCCCAGACTTGATTGTGCCATCTTGAGTTTTTTTTTTAATTTTCTTTTAATAATCTAGACATTTATCCTCGCCTCTCTTCGTTAATTTTAATTAAATCCTAGACATTTATTTTAGGATTCATGGAATCTTGGTCTTTTTAAAAATCAAATTCGGACATTTATGCAATCTTGTGTCGGGAATTTGCAAATTCAATTTTTCATATTAAACGATAAAATATGGAAGGTGAGGGGTTGGTGGAGGGGGAACTAAAATTGTGAAGAAGTTTGCTTTTTGAAAAATGTGAATATTTTGGTAATTTTACAATGACACAAAATGAAGAGGGGTAAAAAATTAGAATGGGAAGGGTCATAATCTTATATACTCTATATTTAAAAGGTGCTATCGAGGAGAATTTTTATCTTCCCATTTTGCCATCATCTTTTTAGTATATACCCAATGTACCCTTCAAACTTCTACGAGAGACAATTGTTCAAACGAGGTATTTGTTGAGAGAAATTCATCTAAATGAGTTGTAGCTGTTCAACAAACAATGCATCCATTCGCATATGTGTGTGATTGTAAATTATTATAAAAGGAAAGAAAATCATGTATTTTTTTTTCTTTCACCCAAAACTCATTTTTTAAATGGATTTTGTCCTCAAAACTTATTTTAGTCGATGAAAATGTAATATTATATTTACGGATGTTATCTTAAAGTTTTTCTCATCTATTTTAAATTTTTTTGTGCATAGATTATATTTAAGTTATATATATTATCTTCGAGTTTTAAAATATAATATATTCATGCTATGTTTTAGTTTTAATTTTCTTATTTATAATAATAAGATGCATAACGACTCGTGAGCCTCACAAAATTACTTCTATGTCATAACTATTTTGTGATGAGAGGTTTGATGCAGTGATCTTTCTAGGAGGAAGTTCTTCAGGAAAAAAATAGGTGAACTATGTATATACTAGTATGAAACATTTGGCCAAAACGAGTATAGTTCAGCTGTAATTGACATAGACCCATGTCAATCTTGTAAGTTTTTTGAATAAAGTACTTGTATATTGTAGGTAATCAAATCTTATTTGAAATTATAATTATTAAAATTGCATGGAAATAAAAACTAAAAGTTTTGGTGAGAAAAAAGTTGGGAGAAAGAGTAAGAAAAACGGTTTATATAGTTGTAGAAGATAAATAGTTGCAAAATTTTTAAAATTCCTTATTAATTATATTTAAAAATAAGTTATAATTTTTAAAATTAATTCATAGAAACAAAGAGATGATACTATCCATATTCTAACCCTCTACATTCCAACATTTTACACAATTAAATAAAGTGAAATTAAGATTAAAAAAAAAAAGAAAGAAATGGGAGGAAGTGACGTGTGGGAGAAAGATCAGCCAATACTAGGGATATTCACGAGTTGGGTTAGGTCGGGTTGGGGATGTTTTTGGGACCAGTCCGAATTTTCGGATTGGAAATTTGTGGGAACCGACGGGTTGTAAAATGATGGTCAACCCAACCCAACAAATTCGGGTTGGATTGCCGAGTTCTTTTTTTTTTTTAAATTGATTAATTAATTTACTTTTGCCTTGGAGTGATTATTGAAGTTTTTTTTTGGGCCAAAACGCAAAAACCAGCAGAATGAGAGAGAGAGTAATCCGGAGCAAGACGACGGTGGTGGCGAGAGGTCGAGACAGTAGCAAGGCTGCGACAGCAAGAGTTCGAGACGGGAGCAAGACGACGGTGACGGCGAGAGGTCGAGACGGGAGCGAGCAAGGCGACGGCGGCGACGAGATTGTAGAGAGAGATGGGGGAGAGGAACATGAAATTGAAAATATTAGAGAAGAGAGAGAAGATTCAAAATGGGGATGATTGAATTGAAACCTAAAATCAATTTAATGAAATGGATGGATGAGATTGAATATGATTAATTTATATATATATATATATATAACTTATAATCTCAGATCGGATCAGGTTGGTCCGGGATTATCAAAGGTCAACCCGAGACCCGACCCAACCCGATTGGGTTCAGATTTTTCCAATCCAACCCAACTTAATGTTAGATTCAACCCAACTCAACCCTTACAGATTGGGTTGGATTTCGTTGAACACCCCTAGTCAATACAAAGAAATTTCATTAGTAAAAACGAATTTTTAAGATAAATACTTGAGAACTATAAATATGCAAAACACTGGTAGAAACGATAATAAAATATGATTTTCAACTTTTTTTTATATTTTTTTATTAATAATTTTTATATTTATATTTACCTTATATGTAACTTAAAATTTTATATTTAATATTTTAAATAGATTTCGTCTTTCAAACTTAGATGCCACGATTCGTATTGAAGCGCCTGTTGAGAAAAATGGTGATTCCGTTCACATATGGGTGTGATAGAGATTGAAACATCACAATCTATCAATTTAAATGTACACATCATTTGACAAAAAAATCTTGAATAATTTTAGTTCACATTTTGCTTCTTAACCTTTAAATTTTTATAATCTCTATTTTATCCTTTAATTTCTGATGAAATATATTTCTTTCAATTACCCGTCAAATAACAATTTATTTTACACTTAAATTGTTATCACCAACTAAGTTCTTGGTCATTTATCTCTTTCATTATTTAAACATAAATAAAAAGGTATATTCATTCAAATTTGAAATTTTAAGATAAAAAATTATATTCCAAAAATTTTAAACCAATACATTAACCTAACTAGTTTTTAGAAAAGACATCAAAATCCAAATGAAATTAAAAGGGATAAAGAATCCCAATTTCTCCAGCTATTGGCTCGATTTTGCCATTTTATTTTAGTATTGTTTCGATTTGGTTTCGAGCCACCAAATTGAGCGAAATCGATTCATGTACACCCCTACCTACTAGATAACTTAGAAAGTTTATAATAAACCTCGTAGTTTTTTTTTTTTGACACATTCCATATAAAGGACAAAAAATAGAGAAATAAATAATAATTACGACTCTTTCCAGAGTAATCAGAGAAAAGTAGAAAACTTCTTTTTTTTTCCCTTCTACGCAATCTTATGGTACAACCGTACAATTTCAACCAGATCGTACGGTCAAAAAGTGCCCCCATTTTCACGAAGCCAAATCCAATCAAAGTCAATAACCTCCAAATTCAACAATTATTCAATAAATTATTGGAAGATAGCAACGTGGCTAATAATTTTATATTTTCGGATGTATATTTTCAAATTTATATTTAACAATTATAAAAAAAAATGTAAATTTTGGAATGTGAATCCAGGCATAGGCGTCCGTCCTTGGTCAATAGTTTTTCCAATTCTCCAATTTTTATTTGTGACATTTTCCAAATAAAATCCTTCCCTCAAAACAAAACATTTCAAAATATGAAAGAAAAATAAAAGTCAAAGTCAAAGCCACAGCCTGGTCTGCCTCTGCCTTTGAAAATCAAAGTAAACGAAGTTATCAACAAGCTGTCCCATTTGAAAGTTTCAGCCCATTAATAGCATTTCTCTCCCACGTCTTCACCGGATTTGAATCTTCTCTTTGTCCTGCAGAAGAAATTTCGAAACCCCAAATAAAAAAAATTAAAAAAGGGTTCTCAGATTTTTGGGAACTTGTTCGAAGTTCGGAAGAAGAGTAAATATGCAGAGGAAGTACCTGGTTCAGGTGGAGGAGGCCAAGGAAGCCGCCGCCGGCCGGCCCTCCGCCGGGGCCGTCTACCGGAGCATTTTTGCCAAGGATGGCTTTCCGCCGCCAGTTCCGGGATTGGATTGCTGCTGGGATATATTTCGGTATCATTCTTTTTCCCTTTTAATCTGTTCGATGGATGAGAAATCAATGGATGAGAGAAGCCAAGAAGAAAAAATCTCGTCTTTGTATTGTTTTTGGAATATAAACTCCATTTTTATTTGGTTTTGTTTAATCTGTGTTAATCATGAAGGGGAAAATTGGATGGTTTTCGATTTGTTTGTATCCAAGAGATCAGTTCTAAATTTGTTTTTGAGGCCATATTCTAATCTATGGTGCCACTTATTTTAGATATTAAATATTTGGGATTAGGTAATTGTCTAATTAAGATTAGTTGGGTGCTTGTAAAGTTGACTCCAACATGTTGTTAAAAAAGAATTTACTTTACTTATTTATTTTCTTAGGTAGAAGAGGATAATCCTATAGTCTTTTAAGACTTTAGAGGGTGTCTGAGTTAGGAAGTCATAACTTCTCTTTATCTATTGTTTTAGATATCACAAATTCCAAGATGAAAAAGGTCGACAGGAATGTCCCCAAGATGTGCTCCAATGGCAAATTGATATTTGTATTGAACAGAAGTTTAAAAACAATATCTCACATGTTGTTGTATTAAAAAAATAATAATAATAATATCTTACGTCCACATAATGTCAATTTTTAATTGGACCACATCAGCTCGGGCATGAGATAAGTATTCCTCAATTACAAGCTTGTACAGTAACGTTTCAAATATCAGTTATACAAACTCAAACTTTTACAATTCATTTTGTCCTATAATCCAAATATATATTACACAAAAATTAAGTTTCCTAATCTCCTGCATAAACTCAGTTTGTGATTTGAAAAAGGGAGTGGCTGAGGAGTTAGATACCTTGCATTTGGTAACCAAATATAAGCTCAAATTTATAACTCGAGACAATACAAATCCAACTCATGAATCAAAACGTTGTGACGAATAATGTTTTATGCAGAATGTCTGTGGAGAAAAATCCTGGAAACCGGATGCTTGGGCGGCGTAAAGTAGTTGAAGGAAATCCAGTAAGTTACTGATAAATGAATTGCTTTAATTGGCATTGGACTGAAGAGGGTAAAAAGTTATGGTAACTTCTGTGCAGACTAAGGCTGGTGAATATGAGTGGCTAACTTACAAACAAGTCCATGAATTGGTGTTGAAAATTGGAAACTCAATGTGCAGTTTGGGTTATGGAACAGTAAGTTTTTTTAAATTTGACTTTGTAAGATGGTCTGTTAACTTTGGAGCTTACATTTGTTATATGTACTGGGTTTTCAGGGAGAAAAATGTGGGATTTATGGTGCTAATTGTCCTGAGTGGATCATTAGCATGGAGGTAATTAGCTCATTTTATCATTTTTCTTTAAGTTCATTTATATTTTCGTAGCTATATAAGGGCCTCTTTAGTAACGTTTTTGTTTATTCTGCAGGCTTGTAATGCTCATGGGCTTTACTGTGTTCCTTTATATGACACTTTAGGTAAACTGCTAAACTTTTTTCATTTTAGTTTTCAAACTTCAAAAACTTCGAATCGAAGAAAAATATCGTTTTAGGCCTTGTTAATCTTTTGAATAATCATTTAATATAAAGAAGCACATCTTTTGTTCATTTTTTATATTGACAAGTGTTTCAAGTCAAATGAAGTAGGTTAGTAGCCATATTTTATACAGATTATAGTTCTTGTTAAATGATTCATAGAAGTTGACAGTATTGACAAAAATAGTTTTTGTTCATATTTTATACGAATAAGTATTTGAAGTATAGGTTAGCAGCTGACTTTTATACAGATTATAGTTCTTGTTAAATGATTCATAGAAAGTTGACAGTAGATGGAAATATCTTTTTATGCAAAGTTCAGGCAAATTTAGAGACTAGAACAGAATAAGTACAAAAGTTCAGGGATCGAAATGGAATTCCTTTTCCGAGCATTTTCGTCACTCGTCATGCCTCTCTTTTTATGATATGTTTCAGGTGCTGGTGCCATAGAATTCATAATATGTCATGCAGAGATTTCCATTGCTTTTGTAGAGGAGAAGAAGATTTCTGAGGTTCATTGTTATCTTTTTTGCCACTAATTAAGACCCATAAATTTTCCAGTAAAATGTCTCTGATATTTTACTTTCCACTCTCTCTTATTCAGCTGTTGAAAACACTTCCCAGCACAGCAAAGATTCTAAAAAGTAAGCCCTTGTACTCTTTTTCTTCATACAGCAACAAAAATAATGGCTTGTATTTAACAAGATTCTACCTTTTGTTGCAGCAATTGTGAGCTTTGGTAAAGTTTCAGATAGTCACAAGGAAGAAGTTAACAAGTTTGGTTTGGAAATATATTCTTGGGAAGAGTTTCTGCAAAAAGTAATGTATCAAGATGTTTGGCTTACAGTTTTTATAAATTTGGGTTTATACCATGATGTTGTTTTTACTTTTTTACCACTGGAACACAGGGAGGAAGCCAACAATTTGATCTTCCAGTGAAAAAGAAAAGTGACATTTGCACTATCATGTACACAAGTGGAACAACTGGTGATCCCAAGGGAGTAATGTTATCCAATAATGCCATTATATCCCTTATAGCTGGTGTCAAACATTTGCTTGCAAGTGTAAAGGCAGAGGTGAATCTCTGTTCTTCCCTCCCCCCTACAGAAAGGTCAATAACTCAGTTTTCAAGCCTGTTTATGTTTCTTGTTTCTTGTTATAGGTTCGAGAAACCGATGTTTATATGTCATATCTTCCGCTTGCACATATCTTCGACCGGGTGATCGAGGAGGTGTTCATTTTGAACGGTGCCTCTATCGGGTTCTGGCGTGGGGTGAGAAATCTTTTTCTTTTTTTGGTCTTTCCCTTTTTCAAGGCATGGAAAGTGAAGAACTCTCATCATGTCCATGGTGTTTGTAGGATGTGAAATTGTTAGTTGAAGACATTGCAGAGCTGAAACCAACTGTTTTCTGTGCAGTTCCTCGTGTCCTTGAAAGGATTTATGGTGGTGAGCATAAGAAGTCTTGAATTCAAATAGTTGCAATCTCATTTCCTCCTCATTTGATATTAATAGCATGTGTGTTCAGCTTCGAGCTAATAGTCGAGCCAAACACATGTAGAAAATATTAAACTCATACAAACCTATCAGCTTAAGCTTTTTAACATTCTTAAACGGATATTCAATGGTTTAAAATTAAATTTTTACTTATTTGAATGGCGGATAACATCGAGAAGTGTTTAATGGTATTGTCTAGGCCTGAATCAAAAGATATCGTCGGGAAGCCTCTTGAAGAAATCGTTGTTCAACTTTGCATACTCATAGTAAGTAAATTTTCCATTAAAAAAAATGGGAACTTCTTATCAACATTGTGCCATTTTCTCTCATTTTTTTTTTAACTTGTGCAGTAAACTCAACCAAATGCAGAAGGGGAAAAAACATGAACAAGCAGCCACAATTTTTGATAAAGTTGTCTTCAGCAAGGTAAAAAGAAAAAAGGAAGAAAAAAAAAACTTAGGCAATTGTGAGGCTTCACTCAATCAAAACCATGTTCATTTTTGAAACTCATTCATCTTATTCCAAGGATATTTTTAGGTGAAGAAGGGATTAGGGGGAAATGTAAGAATCATTTTATCTGGAGGAGCTCCTCTCGCACCACATATAGAAACCTTCTTTCGAGTCGTTTCATGTGCTCATGTTCTACAAGGATACGGTACGTCGTTCTGGAAAGTTATTATCTTTCTCTCCTTGTCGTGTCCGTGTCCTAGATTTCTTTTAAATGACATATCACCGTGACCGTATCGTATTGTATTTATGTCTCGTACCCAAATTTATGCTTCTTAAATCTTTGTCTATAGGTTTGACAGAAACTTGTGGTGGAACATTTGTGACCCTACCAAATGAATTGCCAATGTTGGGAACAGTAGGCCCTCCAGTGCCGAATGTGGACGTCTGTCTTGAATCGGTACCTGATATGGGATACGATTCACTCGCTAGCACGCCTCGAGGGGAAGTATGCATCAGAGGAGATACATTGTTTTCAGGATACTACAAACGTGAAGATCTTACCACAGAGGTTTTGGTTGATGGATGGTTTCATACTGGTATTGTTCTTTTTTTCTTCTGAAATTTGTCTCTTCAAATTCAAGTGGGTTGAATAGAAGCTTTGATTCTTACATTCTTTCAATCATATTTAGGGGATGTTGGCGAATGGCAACCAGATGGAAGCTTAAAAATTATTGATCGTAAGAAGAACATCTTCAAACTTTCTCAAGGTGAATATGTTGCTGTGGAGAATCTAGAGGTGATTTATGGCCTTGTTTCCGACATCGAAGCGGTACAAGTTCTAACTTATTCGACGCTAAAATAACATCAAAGAAAAACAAAAAACGTTGCTATAACTTTTAGCAACGAAATGATCATCGTTGCAAAAAAAGTTACAACGTCGCTAAAAGTTAATTAAAATCTAAGAAATTTATAATGTTTGATTGGGAATTTTCAGATATGGATTTATGGGAATAGCTTTGAGTCCTTCCTTGTTGGTGTTATTAACCCTCAAAAGCAAGCACTTGAGAAATGGGGAGAAGAAAATGGAATAAAAGGGGACTTTAATGCTCTTTGTGAAGACAAAAGGGCAAAAGACTACATACTTGGACAACTCTCAAAGATTGCAAAAGAAAAGAAGGTTCATTTTTCTAATTTCTTGTCATGATGAATGATGAAATTGTTGAAAGTTTTAACATGAATTGAAGTTGTGGTATTGTATTTGATTTTGCAGTTAAAAGGCTACGAAGTTATTAGAGCGGTTCATCTCGACCCGGTTCCATTCGACATAGAGCGCGACCTTATTACTCCATCATACAAGAAGAAGAGACCACAGTTGCTCAAATACTATCAGGTTTAATTTAAGTTTCATTTTAAGCCTCGATGTTTTAACCACCGTGTCAAAATTAGTCCTTGTACGTATAGAAACTTTATTTTGGTCTCTAAAGTTAAAACTTTCCAAATGTGTCCTTAGTGTTAATAGAGAAGTAATAAGAATTCAACCAAATAAGTATTTGTGAACTGACTTTTTTTTTATTGACATAGAAGTCTAAATATGACATTATTTTAGTTCCAACAGAAAAAAAAAAAAAAAAAAACTTGTATAATAACTCTTTTAACCTTCAATTTTATATCAAGTCCCTAATTGTTAAATTTTATGTAAACGACATCCTTTACCCTATTAGATTCTTTTAAAAGCTCGAAATCTATGAGATAACAAGTTAAAAGTTTAGAAATCTATTTAACACTTTTTATACGAATTTGTATTCAAAATTATCTTCCTATGAATTTGTGACCAATATAAAGTTTTGGATCCACCATTGTGTGAATCCCTCACGGAACAAAAATTCTAAGTCCACCCCTCAATCCTCACAAATAACAAAGATACGTGATACTTTAATCAAAACATAGAGATGATAACGACACTCCCAAAATTACGGGAACTAAATTAACACAAAAAATATAATTTATTTTGTTTTGTGTATGGAAATGATGAGTACAAAATTGATGACCTAAGTTTTTGTTTTGCAACAGAAAGTGATTGATGACATGTACAAGGTTGGGAACAAGCCAGTAGCATAACAAAGATTGAACAGCATGAATGTAAAGCCTATAGAATCCAATCTTTCAAATTATATGTTTAAATTTCTTTTTTCTTTTGGCTTATTTGTTTGTATCAAACCCAATTATTCTTATTGCTCATTGCTTATAGTCATCCATCTTTATTACAGAGTTTGCTCATTCTTTATTTTTGTATGATTTGACAATTTCATCAACTCTAAGCTAAAAATGAAAATGATTATTTTCTCTTTTTTTGACAAATAAGTTCCTCAAAGTAAAAAATTTTAAATTGTTAGACCAGTGTTAATTCAGTGTAGATACAACAAGAACTTGTTGTGTTAGAGCAAATTTAAACTATGTTTTAGAGCCAACCAAAAGTATTATTTTTTTTTTCACAGCAAAATCATTTCTCTGCTCCAACATATCTGAGAGTAGAAGTGCTTTTAAGAGTAAGGTATCAAATGTCAAGAGTAGTTTATAGTAAACATTATTTACTAAAGTGCATATGATTAAAACATTTTTGCTAACAAATTTATCGTAGAACTTCATACATGAATCTGTAGTCAGGTAAATGTGTATTTAGGAGTGTGAATATGATTATGATTAAAACATGTCCTTCATATATTCCTAAAGTTTCGATAGGGAGAAAGAACAGAATTTATAATGTGAGATTGAAAATATGTTGCATAGCTTACAACATCATAACAGAAAAGAAGGGGAAAAAAAAGAAGAAAA